GTTAAACATAGCTATGACAAAACTGAAACATTCTCTTGCTAAATGTGATATGCCAACTGAACAGTGAGAAAGTTTCCCTTCTAAATAGCTTAAACTTAGCCTGGAAATGCAGATTGTTGGTATTTTCTCTACCCTCCAAAATTGTGATAATGAAATCTTTTAGTCTTCCCATTTCTGTTATACATAAATATGATAAAACGAGAACAAGAAAATATGTTTTCATTGCCTTAGGATGATGCATTTGAACTCAGAGTCTTCATATAATTATCATATTATCAGAACTTCTACAATGACGATAGTCAATACTAAGAGCAAAAGTTATCCTAAAGTGCTTCCATAACGAAATGTGTTATTAGCAAAGATTTATTTAACAGTTTCAAAGTATTTTATAGTCTAAAAATCACATACATTCACACATATGTATTATTTGAATAAATGCCTAAGAAAATGAAACCACAGTTTAAAGAAAACTCATTTTTAAATTTTAAAGCAAAGATCATTTATAGCCGTAACTAAAATATTAAATACCTCTTAAGTGTGTCTAGGATTCATAGGCAAAGCAGACGTGACTCCTGACGGATTTTGTTTCTTGACAATTTTTGCTCACTTGAAATCCCTAGAAAATATGCCCACTGGATTAACAACAATTTTAGAATAACTTATGAATTGGCTTTTAGGTAAAGTTTCTGAATATTCATTGTTGAGCTACCTCCTGCTCCACACATAAATTATGATATAAATTGTTCTAAATGTAATATATATTATTGTTACATGTAATCAAGTGTCACACACAAATACCTGTTCACCTCATCTGCATGACTGAATGGCAGAAGTTTTAGAGCAGCTACCCCAAAGCAGCAGTGTCAGCCATCTTCTCCAATCTTCCCTACACTTCTCACAGCTCTCTCATAGATGACAGTATGCCCTTCACCAAGATCCATCCTTTCTTAATTATATGGAAAACCTCAATTTCATAACCCATGAACAGAAAGGGGAAAAATCTCTCATTCTTTTACTCTCTACAGTGCCAAATATACTGTTTGATTTTTCTCTTTCTGCCTCTCTGACCCTGTTTTCCTGTGTCTTTTTCTTTCTCTTTTCTCTTTTTTAGTGATCAGGTAATTACTTCTGGTCCATACTATGGCCTCTTTTCCATAGTTTTATTTTCCAAGTGCTCTCTGCATTATCAGTTCCTCTCCCTCTCTAAATTACACCAATTCTCTATTTTTTAGTAGCTTCATTTTGGAAACACCAACAGTGGCATTTTTATGAACACAGTACATTTCCGTACACACACACACGCACATCACACACACACACACACATACATACACACCTCACACACACACATACATACACACCTCTGTTTAAGACCTTGAAACCCAGAAAATTCTAAAAAAGTAGATCAGAGGTGTACTTCCTTTCAACAAATTCAAATTTTGGCCAAAAATATCTTTTTGTGAATACTTGGTAAATCTATACCCTCATCTACTGAAAATTATGCATAATGTTTCCAGTTGTGTTGAAATGCTTCAGTATAGGGTAGCATTTTTTCCTATTTTTAGTTAAGAACTGAATAGAACCCAATGCTGAGAAGGAGTGACAAATGAGATCCCTTCCTGAAGCAACTACGAGGGGAACATAAGGTCCACAATATAGCTCCTTTTTGAAATATGATTAACCATTGAATTACACTAATCTCTTTGTAAAACCCTGCATTATGGTAGCATGTGCAGTATTGGAAATTTAAGAAACATATGTAATTCTTCTATACACTTAGAGTTTTTAGTCCAGATGTCAAATGATAAATTATAAATGCTGAGTACTAATATTCTCCCTCCAAATTGTATTAAAAGTACTCTGCAGCATAGGAAATGGAAATTTTAATTCACTAGTCTACTTATAACTTCAAGTTAATCTTCTCATAAAATTGTCTGTCTTGGATGGGGAACATCACACACTGGGGCCTGTCGTGGGGTTGGGGGTCGGGGAAGGGATAGCATTAGATATACCTAATGTAAACGATGAGTTAATGGGTGCAGCACACCAACATGGCACATGTATACATATGTAACAAACCTGCACGTTGTGCACATGTATCCTAGAACCTAAAGTATAATAATAAAAATAATAAATAAATAAATAGAAGGCAAGCCACAGATGCATCCTTACCAGCCTAAAGCTTCTCTTTCTCTCAGGTATGATATGAAATGAAGGAAAAGTAGTTCCTTAGCTTTAAAATGTCTACATGCTTTTTAAAATTTACTACCAGTTCAGTTTGTTTTCCAAACAAAACACCAGCTTTAAAAGC